AATTTTCTTATAAATAGAAAACTATTCAAAAAACAGCTTATTAAAAATAAAATTGTTAGTGACTTGCAAATAAAATTGTTTTAAAAATTAAAATAATCTCCAAATAACTGAGACTAGGTTTTATCCCACAGTGAACTTCTAAATAATCTTGGGATACATAATTTTCTGTCTAATCCTAGAATCCCACAGCTGGATTCAGTCACACCTCACATTGAGTTTGGCACTGCCTCCCACAGCAGCCTTCAGAGATTCATTCTTCCCTCAAACCCGGTATTGGACCAGTGCTCTGTGATGGGCTGTGGATGCCAAGGTGAAACAACAAGGTGCCTGTTCTCAAGAAGCTTTCGCTCTAATAGGGGAGCAAGGCAGTTTATTTCTAAGCAGGAAAGAGGATAGGACAGAAGACGGTACAAGTCAGGGTAGTGTCACAGGGGAGAACGTGACTAAATCTGAGCAGTAGGGGCGAGGAGTGCCCTGTGTCCTGAGAGGTGAGCAGGAATTATGCTGCAAACAAGCCAGAGGAAGCATTCCCAGGAAGGGAGCCATACAGAATGGTCTTTCTCTTTCTGAATTTCTGTAAGCACATATGCATCAGTTGGCATCAAACCACCCTGCATGTGTTTGTACACCACCTGGAAATCAATTTCTTGTTTAACAAACATCTTGATATCCTCCAAACGGAAGATACCACTTTTAAAGGAGAAAGACCCTGTTTTCTGTTGCATTTGTGTCCCTCACATGGCCTTAGTAATGTCAAGCACAAAGTAGGGGCTACTTTGGGTTTACATAATGGGTTACGGTAGACCCATTGTAATGATGGGTCTTGTCCAGCATTCTAAATTCCAACCTTTTATTTCTTCCTGTCTCTGTCTCCTATATCTATCCTTCCATTTACTTCTGTGACCAACACTTGTGTACACACAAGATGACTGGTCCATATTATAAAAGAGTCGTTGACTCTAGAGTGAAATAGAACTAATTGGGCTTTATGGAAATGGAAGCTGTGGTCTTGAGCTTCCAAACTGATGGTTTAAACAAGTGAGTTAACCAGCCACAGATTGGAGCTAGATATTTGCTTGTTGAATGATTTGAAGAATTCCTTTATAATATTCGGGACATGGTAAGTTATGAGCATTCTGAGCTTGACAAGTCATCACCAAATAATTCTGTCTTTATCAGTGATACTTAAGATGCTTAGGATCTTGAAACAGGTCTGCTTCTGCTCCGTAGTTCCAGTCACCACCATCTCCCCTCAAAATATTTGGCTGTGGTGCGGCAATGTGAAAAAGAATAGGTTGTTTGAAGATTGTGGGAGAAGAGAGGTCTGTGACATTATTTTCTTTTATGGCAGACTAAAGGCCCTATGCACAAAATTCATGCAAGGGGCTTGTCCCTTGCAGCCCCGACTTTGTCTGGAAGGTCATCCGAAAGGCCATCTGGAAGGTCGTTCGGCTATCCGGTCTAATTAGCATATTATGCTTTTATTATTATAGTTGTGACAGATGCAGCAGCTAAGTTTCCCAATATCTGTTCTCCCTCCTTCGATATTAATAGAACCCCTGATTTCTAGCTGGGCACGTGGTTACTCTCAATTCATATTCAATTTCCCACACTCCTTCACAACTTGTGACAATGTGACTAAATTCAAGCAATGGGATATAGGAGGGAGTGATCTAAGCAACTGCTGGGTTGTGTCCATTAAGGAAACATGCTCTCACTTCCTAATTTTTTCACCTTCCCACTGGCTGGAATGTGGCTGTGATGGTTAGTTAGCTTGGAGTGGAAGAACAACAAGATACAGTAGTCCCCCCTTTTCTGCAGGGATGTGATCCAAGACCCCCAGTGGATGCCTGACACTGTAGATAGTACTGAACCCTATAGATAACATGTTTTTTTCTACTCACACAAACCTATGATAAAGTTTAATTTTACAGGCACAGTAAGAGATTAACAACAACTACTACTCATAAAATAGAACAATTACAGTAATATACTGTAATAAAAGTTTTGTGAATGTAGGCTCTTTCTCTCTGATAATTAATCTGATAACCAAGATGGCTACTAAGTGGTATGGTACATAGTGTGGATACTCTGGACAAAGGGATGATTCACGTCCTAGGTGGGGCAGAACAGAATGGCGTGAGATTTCATCACGCTACTCAGAATGGCATGCAATTTAAAACTCATGAATTGTTTATCTCTGGAATTTTCCATTTAATATTTTCAGACCACAGTTGACCGCAGGTAACTGAAAACACGGAAAGTAAAATTATGGATAAGGGGGACTACTGTAGAAGAAAACCGGGGCCCTGACTGGCGCTACCTTGAATCCTAGGTTGCTTATGCTCAGAGCTGTTATGTCAATGATAAATAAATTGTCCCATTTAGGCAAGGTTGGGATTTAATTTTCTGTTTCATCAGCTAATTAATACATTGGAGGATAAAAACATTATGAAGCTCAAACAGTGTCAGCTGAGTGATATGAACAAGATGAGAAACATACTTTTAAAGATATTTAATAAGACTTTTTAAAAAAATCAGTACAAATATTTAAATACAAAAATGATTTGCTGTTGACAAGTCTCAAATCTATCATTGAAACTCGAAAAAGTTACCAGTCTGTTCACTGCTCATGGTATTCTGTAAAATATTTGAGAACAGTCACCCACTGCAAACAGTTCTTTCCCCTTGATGTCATACTGCTTAAAACTCTGTATTTAAATAACAATAACGCCAGTTGGGTCCTTTATTACATGGAAAAGTTCTAGTTAATTTTGAATGAAATAGGGATTGTAGTGCTATCCCTAGACTTTAGAATGCTTGGTTGTTTCTTTTGGTTTTACACTAATGTGTTAACATGGTGTGCAACACACAAAAGAGAAACACAGACACATAGATAATTATTTAAAACTCTTCTTTAAATTAAATGGAGTAATTCGTTTGCTCTGAGATTAGCACCATTGTAGAATATACAGTATCTGGCATAGCTTTTGCTCCTGCACCATCTAAAAGTTAGAAGCATATGCCTGATAATACACACACATACACGCACACACACACAGGCAATTGAGTAACAACCAATAAATAAGTTGGAAGGTATTTTGAAAAGTGAAATTTGGTTTTAACTAAATAGGTACTTTCTTTCTTTCTTGGTGGAACTAAAAAGCCCATACATGTACAGATAAATACAGTTTTACAAACCAGCTGATCTGACTTGCTTCCAAGCCATTCCAATGCAGCTGTTCAGCAGAAGGAGCCCCATGGATCCACATTGCCCCCACAGTCATCAGCCCCAAACCAGCATCCTCAGGACCAACCCAAAGGATATTTGGCCACATAAATGCTGTCTGCTTTGAACATATAGGTTGGGTGGGATATCTTTTTGATGGGAAAATTTTGTCATACAAGTAGCAGTGATAAGAAACCCTGTGGTAATGAACTCATTTCTTTTTTTAAAGAGATTGAGAAGAAATGGTGCTCATGTACCATATAAGAGAAGAGACAGATATTAGGTTGAGGAGCATTTTCTTGATGGTTAAAATAATTCAGATTTGACATAGACATATTTCCATGTGTGTTTATACCGTATTTATTTGTGTCATTTCCCATCTGTAATGATCCCTGTAACTCCTCATTCTTAATTTCGAGGAAAAGATACAAGATAGCACCACTATAACTTCACATTATTTCCCCCAGTGGCTTAGTGACAGCAGTAGACTCATTGCTGAGTGGAAATGCTTTGTCTGTGTTTTGAGACCAGATTTGAATGCTGGAAGGAGTTAGCATGTACCTAAGTGAAAACCTGGAACAATATTTATTTCTCCCTTTAAACCTTTATTAACTCTTGCCTTGTGCTGAGTATGGGATGACATGAAAAGCATGGGCTACCATTGCCCTTTGGCATTAAAGCTTTTCCACAAATTGCTTCTAAAGAAACAGTTCTTTTCCTATAATTTTAGTACCTACATCAGGAAATAGTACATTTACTTTTAGAACTTCAGCAATTATATTTTCAGCAATGTAATTCAAAAAATCTACATTCCTCCTCCCCCCCAAAATAAAGAAAGGATGACTTGGATTTTGGAAATTGACTTTGGAATCTCAGATGGCACACTGATTTGCATGTGTACTACACAGGGAAATTTCTTTGAAATATAATAATAGCTTCTAAGAAATATTGATATCCCCTTCATTTGTGTGTGTAGGAAAAGAGGGGATTTGTTAAATATGTAAACACAATAGCTATTGATAATAAGCGTTCCACAAAACTGGGAAGTTATGGGGGGAGAAGCTTTTTTCTTTCTTTCTTATGACTTCCAGGTGTTTGTATTCGTTGGGCCATAGTGGAAATTACACACAGGGAAGAAAAAAGAAAAAAGCAGGAAAAAAAAAAAACCATACCAAAAGGAACCCTTGAGGAATAAATGAGTTAACTACTGCTCATGTCTCCCAGGTGGTCCTTAGCTGCTTGTGGGGCACTGTCTAAAGCCCCACCCAGTGCTAGGCACAGAGGGCACTGAGTAAACACAACGGCTGATTGGTTCTTCTAGGGACACTAGACACACAATTCTGAGTAAGACTCCTGTGGCTAAAGGACATAGCCTCTGACAGGAGACAAAGAGCCCTTGCAACTAAAGCCCTACCACGGCCCCGCCCCCTCCCACCAGGGCAGGTAAGGATGCAGAACTACGCCCCCACGTTCCATGGCAACATCTCTGCACAAATACAGTGGAAATCATGCAAGTAAATACGGTATGTAATTGTTATCATTGACCTTTCTTTAAGCCATACTTATAAATATTTAAAAGTAAACAACATGAGTGACTTTCATTAGCTATGGTCTTTCATACTGAAATATTTTGACTGATCTGAATAAGCAGGTTATGATGGAAGCACATAACATAACAGCTAATATGATTCCAGTGGGTACAACACAAGTGTCAGTACTTGGTACACAAATCTGTCCCATCATTTTCCATTACAAGATGCTGTGCAGAGCATTAAACATGCATCTTAGCTTTTATTTGTACATGATGGTTCAACATTTCACTTAAATATAACTTTCCAACTATATAAATGTTTTGAAGCAATTACGGTTTTCATTTGGATTTCCATGTTCTTTTCTTCTATTAAATCTCTCTCTACTTCTTTTCTTTTTTACATGGGATACAATAAATATCCTGAAAAGGAGGAGTGGACGTACTGCCCGGCGTACAGCCCCGCGGCCTGTTCGGAGGGCATCTGGAGGAACACCCGGTCTCCGGGCCTGAGCAGCAGCACCGCGCTCCCCGACGCCTGGTCCAGGAAGCCCTTCTTGTACTCGTCGTACGTGTACATCATGGGCTCGTTGTTCTTGAACAAAGCAACCCACACGTTGCCCCCCTTGCAGTGAACGTGGTACGCAAAGTAGTAGACGCCCGGGACTTCGCAGGTGAAGATGCCTGTCTGCGGGTTGTAGTTCTGTCTGCCGTTATAGAGCAGTTTGTCAAACTTCACTGGGGCCCCCACGGGTGGGAAAGGTGCAGTCAGCTCGGCGGTAAATGCAGGCATCTCGTAGGCTGGCCCTCCGTTCTTGCCTTTCTTAGCCCCATAGGCATGGGGGGGTTTCACTCCATCGATTCCCAGCCCCATATCTGGCAGATACTCTCCACGGGGTGGTGGTGTAGGGGGCATCGCAGCTGGGGGGCCTGGGGGCCCTGGAGGGCCTGGGGGCCCTGGAAGGCCAGGCTGGCCTTGAGGACCCAGGGCACCGGGCTTTCCTGGGGGGCCATGAAGTCCTGCTACTCCAGGCTTCCCTACTCCAGGGAACCCGGGGGGCCCTGGGAGGCCCGGTTCCCCTTTGGGGCCTGGAATTCCAGGTGGTCCAATGGGGCCACTAGGGCCTGCAATACCCGGGATGCCTGGGGGGCCCTGTAAACCCTGATCCCCTGGGATTCCTGGTTCTCCCTTTGGTCCAAGCAGACCTGGAGCACCAGGGAGCCCTGGCAAACCTTTATGCCCAGCTTCCCCCTTGGGCCCTATGGGACCTGGCAAACCCCTTATGCCAGGGGGCCCCACTTCACCAAGGAAACCTGGCTTCCCTGGGAAGCCTTGAAGCCCTGGCTCCCCCTTGGGACCTGGTGGCCCCTGTGGCCCTACAACCCCACCTTCTCCTTTGGGTCCAGGAAAACCAATAGCACCTGGAGGGCCCATAGGACCGGGGATTCCAGGCAGGCCTGGCTCTCCTGGGGGACCCCCCATTCCAGGGGCACCTATTGGTCCTTTCTCCCCTCTTGGTCCAAGAGCCCCGGGGGATACCCCCTATGCCCTTTTCGCCTTTGGGTCCCGGGAAGCCTGGTTTCCCGATCCCTGGAAGGCCTGGGGGTCCTGGCAGCCCTGGCAGTCCTTGCTCCCCTTTGCCACCTGGAAATCCTGGCTGGCCAGGGATCCCATCCTGGCCTGGTTTTCCAACTCCAGGCATCCCAGGAGGTCCTTGAACCCCTGGTATCCCAATAGGGCCTTGTGGCCCAGGTTCACCTGGAGGACCTGGCTTTCCCAGGGGGCCTTGGGGCCCAGGGAAGCCTGTCACTCCTGGTTTGCCCACTCCTGGAAGCCCGACAGGACCAGGAGGGCCATTCATCCCCGGAGGACCCTTCAGGCCTGGCAGACCTGGCATCCCGAAGCCCTTCTCTCCTTTAGGACCCTGAAGGCCTGGAGGTCCTGGTGGTCCTTTGAGTCCTCTCTCACCCTTTGGACCTGGTTGCCCTGGTAACCCAGGTCCACCTGGCTTGCCAATGCCAGGAAGTCCGTGAGGCCCTGGAGGTCCTTGTGGTCCTGGGATCCCCTTGGGCCCCATCTCTCCTTTGGGTCCAATTTCGCCTTTTGCCCCTGGCATTCCCATGGCTCCTGGCTTTCCTGGCATTCCAGGCATACCTGGCTTTCCAATTCCTGGATAGCCCTGTGGCCCTGGTTTTCCTTTGATTCCAGGTATCCCATGACCTGGTAAACCGGGGGGCCCAGGTGGTCCTCTTGGGCCTGGCTCTCCACGAGGCCCTTGTTCCCCTCGTAAACTGGCTAATGGTGCTTCTACTGGGAAAGAGAAGAGAAGAGAAGAGAAGAGAAGAGAGAGAGAGAGAGAGAGAGAGAGAGAGAGAGAGAGAGAGGGAAATATTGATTATCCTTCACTTTAAGGGAGTCATGACAATGATTATTTACTTCTGGCACACTTGCCCATTACTTATTGAAAGACAGAGTAATGCTGTACTCAAAGGATAATCAAGATGATAATATCTTCAACATATTTGAGATAGTATTTTTGAGAATTGATATCTTTAGCTACTTTTGTCAGCATTGGTTAAGTGAAAAAGCCAAAAAGTAATGAACATTCCCCCAAGTATAAAACTTGGAGATATTATGGTGTGTTCACTGTAGATAATCTAGAAAATTCACAAAAGGGTAAAGAAAAATCAAAGTTGATAATCACTTGACATTTACATATATATTACCATCTTGTGTTCTAGGTATTTGTGTGTGTGTGTGTGTGTGTATTTTAAACAATGCTGGAGTCATTCTTCATTTTTATTTTTTCTACTACTTGTTGTTATATTGTATTTTTCCATGTCCTTAATTTTTTTTACATAATCATTTATGGCAAAAATATTTTCTCTTGTGCAAAACTAAGGTATGATGTGGATGATGAAAGCAATTACAGTGGGGCCTTGACTTACGAGTGTCCCTTGACTAATGAGTTTTTTCGAGATACGAGCCATCTCTCCGCCGATTTTTTGCTTTGAGTTGTGAGCTAAAATTCGGGTTATATACGAGCCAGCTTCAGATACCCCACCGCTAGTTGGCGCAGCTAACGTCACAGTGATTTGACATACGCGTAATTTGAGTTACGAGCTCCGTCACGAATTAAACTCTTAAATCAAGGCCCCACTGTATGTGGACTCAGAAGAACTGAAGCATTTTATTTTGTTTGTGGTTTAATAACATCTTTCACACCTATCTTCTAGAGTCAAAGATATTTGCTTAATTTCTTCAATGTACTGCAGATTTCCTAAGCCTCAAACATTCATTCTTTAATATGCTATTTCTCACTTGCAAATTTGTTTTTAAACAGGAGAAGGGAATAAAATACTTTATGCGGGAGACTAAAGCAAACAGTAGTTAGCATATTAATACAAAAAGAAACATTGGAATACCAATGGACTTTGATATTTAGCAGGGCTGAAAATCAGCATAATACTGCCCTGCTGTGGGCTCAATAGCTCAAGGCAATTTCCTAACCTGATAATCCTTATACTGTTTACCAAACTTTACCTTTGATCTGCCTGTATGCATTGCTAAAGGACAAATGTATATTCAAGTGAATAAAAAGCAAAGGGGACCCAGAAGTTGGTGTGTCTCTTCAAGAAAGAGGCTCCACCTGGCCCCCAATGCCTTCTAAATTCATATTTCTTGTATAGCATTTTCATTTGTGCATCAGCCCCTCCTTCAGATCCTGAACCCTGCTGCGAAGGTCGAGGCAACTTTATGATTTTAGGATACCAAGCAGTGTGGATAAGGAATGGAGCTGGGGTTAGGAGCAGGAAGTTCAGCTTTTCTTCCTGGTCTTGAAATGAGATCTTCATTGGGTCTCTTACACCATCTGCACAGTGAGAGTAATAACACCCTCACACAAGATTAGGTAGTGGATGTGAAAGGTGCTATCGAAATACAAAGCATAGTATAAATGATTATGCTATGACTTGCAGAGAAACATAACTCTGGATTCCCCCATGCTCTTGGGATTAATGGACAACATAAAGAAGTGAAACTTATGGTCCCAAAGTCTTTATTTCAACCAGTAGTTGCATCTTAGTTTTGATCATTGTATTTTTCACTGAGCTACTGTCAGGGAACAAAATAGAACCACAGAACTCCCATTCTTTCCAGATTCCCTGACTGAAATCTGGTTCCCATCTGAGTAAGTGCAGGAAGTGCCAAAAGCCAGACAGGCCATTCAAGAAAGGGAGGAAAACAAATGGCCGAGATCATCTCCGCAGCAGAATATCAGCTCCTAAAGAAGAAAATCGGGAATACTTCCTCCATTATGCGAGTAGGTATTATTAGAGTACTATTAAGTCATGTTACTTCTAACTAACTATAGAAATGATCTCTGAAAGTACAGTTTTGGTCTGTTATTTCTAAGCAGTATGTAGCTACTATATCAAGGGCACATGTGAGGCAGGATCCGTCTTATTGATCAGGAATCCCTGGTGTCTAGCACAGTGCCTGGAGCTTACCCTGCTCTTACTTAGGGTTTGTTGTGTGACCAGCTCTAGCAACTCAAAGTTCTTACGGTGCTTTAGCATTAACTTAGCACGTTAAATGACTAGGGCTCCCTTATTTCTGGCCTCTGGGCATCCAGGCCTCTTAGTGCCAAATCCAGTAGTTCCCAGAAGTAAAGGGCTCCCTTATTTCTGGCCTCTAGATGGCCTCCACTTCCTTAAAGGGAGTTGCTACTCTGATGCAATTCCTTCCCTACAAATGCTAGGTTTCCTAGAACTCCTGATAAACAGGTTGAATTTATGAGAAAGTGATAGGCAGTTTATAGGTGTTGAATAAGCATGCCTAGAAAGTAATAGGAGAGATTTTCAGGTATCATCTCTCGGTACAATCTATACTCCTTATTCTCCTGTCGACTGATTGACATGTGTGGTAACTTAATTAGAGCAGTTTTAGAAGCACTTGCATTTATCTCTAGCACCTAGTTCACAAAATACTTTCATGTGATTTTTTTTTGTTTTTTTTAAACAACAACAGGTCCATACAGCACTGCTCTCCTAATTCAGAATGCTGGTGGTCCCCCAGCATATAGTCCAGTGCGTGGCACAAAAATAGATGATTGTTAAGTAATTGCCAAATGCTTGAATAAATATGTACTGAATGAAGAAATAAACTATTTGTTATTAAGTATGTTTTCTGTCATTTGATGCTGTTAAAAGAAAGCACAACATAAAATGGTAATTTTGTCTGTATCTTCAAGACTTGAACTTTTTGAGGATAGAGTTCAGAACACCCCCATTTAGTGAATGTTAATAATATATTCTAAAATAAAAATTTCTAAAATTTAGCTCCCCTGCCCCCATCCCAGCCAAACTCATAGTTTAGAGTTTTGGAAGGCCGCCGTTCTATAACAGCCCAGGATTTGTTGTTACCTTTGCCTTTCTTGGGAGCTGCTTCCTTGCCCATCCTTGGCATCGGCTGCAATTCCTTCATATATTGGGGTAGATGTGGATACTCTTTACCATACTGCATATGGGGGAGCTCCTTGCCCATGGTAAGGCCATCTTTGCTCAAAGGCATGTGAGGTACTTGCTGGCCCAGGGGCTGGTATTGTGGAATTTGCGGTTGGATCTGAGGAATTTGAGGCAGTGGCTTGATCCCATAGTAGGCACCGGCCTGAGTGAGCCTGATGGAGCCGAGGGAAATGGTAAGCAGCACTCCCAGCAGCTGCCGAGGGGCAGGTGGCACAGCCATCACCTGTGGGGAAGGAAGGAAGGCACTGACATGTTGAAACCTGCAGGCCAAGTCATTGGATTATAGAGAAAGAAAGAAAAACACACAAGAAAACAGTCTTTATTATCAGAACTTCATGAGCAGAAGACTAATGGACAAAGTTTAGCTTTTAATAGACAAAAAAGAAAAATAAAACAAAAAACAGAAAAGAGTAGAATCTGTCAAGTGAAGGCAGTTTGTAGGACAATCGATTGTAGGAGAGACTGCGAATTGCCCCTGAATATCAGTTCTGCCTTCTTCCATAGTATTGTTACCCCTGATTTTCAGCTGGAACAGAGCAGCCTAGAACAAATACCTTTCAGCCAGGTGTGGCCATCTGACAAAGTTCTGGCCAATTGGATGTAGTTGTAATAGGGGCAGCTCCTAAGAAGTATCCTAAAGATGAGTGGGCATGTTCTTCCTCTTCATCCTTCCTGCTGGCTAAAATGCCTGGAAACAGATCAGACACCTTGGACCGTGAGGTGAAAGATGAGCACTGAGGAGCACCATGGTAGAAGAAACCTCAGACCTGGTTGAACTTGGAGGCATCATATTGATCCCTAAATTTGGAATTTGTTTATTAAAGAGAGAAACAAAGGTCTACCTTCCTTAAAACATGATTCTTTTGGGTGTCACACAGTCACACTAAATTTAATCCTTACAGATAGAGTGAATTTTCCAAAAGGAGGTGAACTTGGCGGCAAGTCAGGCTTTGTTAGTAAGTGCCAAAATTATATTCTGAATGGAAACAGTTGATAATTTATAGGCTAATGCCAGAGGCTGAGATTCCTTTGGCTGCTTCGGTGTGGTCACAAATAGCTATAAATGTTAAAGAGCAAACAACAACAAAAACTGCAGAGGTCTGAATTGTAAAGTAAGTTCTTCATGTGATAGTCCGAAAATGTCATTACAAAAATCACTATCATAATTATGCACATACAGGGATGTTATTTCTTCTTTCTTCTATTTAAATGCTGTGAAGTCATTCATGTAGAATTTGGCTAATTGGATTTGAAGTCCATTAGAATTTATCTTTGTACTATTATGAAAGAAAGGAGTTTACAAAGCAAATTAGTTGTATAAATAAGATAGAGATGTTTAAGTACTCATAAGAATAAACTGTTTCTAATCTCTTTAGTAACACCCTTTGCTAATTAACAGTTGACAGAATAAATATAAATGGGGCTTACGTATTTGTTTATAAAAATGAGTTTGAAAAGCTCTCTTGAAATGCCTAGGGCTGAAGATCCAACAGTCCAGGGAACTGCAGTGTTCCCAAATACTCACTAGAGGGCAAGTGTGGTACACATTGAAGTCTGTCCAGTTATTCATCCCCAATGCTAACACCAGATACTTACGTACTTTGCTCTCACTCCTTATTAAGGGATTTAATTAAAATCTGAATCCTAAGTGGAGCCATCATAATGCTGGAGAGATGTGTGTGTGTGTGTGTGTGTGTGTGTGAGAGAGAGAGAGAGAGAGAGAGAGAGAGAGAGAGAGAGAGAGAGAGATTTTTAATGTATCTTCTGGAAAACAATTAAATAAACTTCTGTCTATAAATAGTTTAATTTCCATTCTCCTGAGAGTTTGTTTTCTTTTCTGCTGCCTTAACTCTGGAGCATAGTTTTCCACTTTTTAGAAAATGTGCGTTGACTTTGCAATATCCTATTCAAAAGTAATGCCAAGCGTATGAACAGGCTACAGAAGAATTGTTTAATAAAAAGCACCTAAGAAAATATTTAAAGAATCCCTACCACAAAATTTACTGCTTTACAGTTTTTGTAAATATACTAACTAGGGGTAAAAAAATGAAAAAATATCTGTCAGCAAAATGATTTATAAAACTTTCTCCATTTCATAAGTTATAATAGTCTCAAGAACTGTTTATTTCAAGTGTTCTCTAAAAAGTTTATGTACTGATAAAATGGGAGAAGATAGAAGGTTGTTATTTTCTGTCCTTCTAAGAATGATTAATTGTCATAAACCATTTGGATAAAGCCACAAAAGTATTTCTGATTTATAATGAATAATAGTCACATTTATTTCAGGTGAAAAAAGAACACTTGCTTGTATGTATTAGCAATAATTTATTGAGTACATACCAGAAACAGTGTTAGACCCACCTAGGGATTACAAAGAGGAATATAATATGGTCAGTGGGCCCTGCCCTCAAGGAGCTTATAGTAGGAGTAACAGATGTGTAAACTATTAATGAGTAGCAAAGAATATCCAGAAAAAAAGGTGAATTTCCCTTCCACTTCTGTTCTTTAAAATCCCTTCCCTTTGAATCAACAACTTTCCCCATTTTTCTTCACATTTTTCCAGATATATTTTATGAATATGCACATATAATATATACCCCTTTAAGACACAAATTACAGCATACCACACACACCACTATTCCTTACTTTTTTTTCACTCAGAAGACCGGAACTTCAGACGTTCTCATCTTAGTTGGGTGTCTCTGAACAGAATCCTTTCAACTTTTTCATTTGTTGAAAACAAGACTCAATTGTTTTGTAAAGTCTCATCTGGCTCTAACATTCAGTGTCTGAGGCAGTCACTGGAGAGGTGAAGGTATTAATCCATACCAGAAATACGTGGTAATTCTTGGTAATGTATATGCTGGGACTTAATTCTACCTTTGGGGATGAATTAATTTAATTATTAAACCTCAAACTTGTGGTGCTGTATTTAATAAGCTAGCATGCTTGGCCCTTCATTCTTCCATCAATTCAGTGGATGTGTTGGATTATACTCAACAATCTTTAAACCAGGACAATCTAATGAAACACTGAAAAACCGGAAGAAGGCAAATGCCTGGAAGAACCCCAGCTGAATACCAAAGGCCAGTGGGATCCTGCTTTACCACAATTATTTCCTCTTGCAGGCTTGGCCTTTCTCTCTTCAAAACCACCTCCTTTGGTCTGCCATCTGAAACATTGCTCTGACTTTTTATTTAAGTAAACTTTGTTCAGTTTTAACTTGAATATTTATGTAGGAGCCCTAGTTAAAATTTACCGCTTGACTTATCCTTACTAATTTCCCTCTTGTCCCTGAGGATATTTTTGGTGGTCAGAGTGGTGTGGTGGTTCTCCCCGAATCACTGAGAAGAACATCAGATTCATGTAACACTATAAAAACACCTGGCGGCAAGAAGGAGACTCAATTCTGCTGGAAAGGAACAGGGGAGTGGGTTTTCTTTGCTCTCGTTTCTCTTTCTGAGGATGCAGAACACAATACTATTTGGAGTTCTATCTTACATTTTATAAATTTCTATTTGATAATGTATATGTGTGAATATGCATAAACATATATAATGTGTGTGGACACTGGCTCTTGGCCAGCCAAGCTGGCTTAGTAATGGGTGTCATGTCACTTAGGAAAAGCATCAGAGAAGCCAAAAGACCTGGAGTTGAGTCTGTGATTCCCCATGTCTATGACCTTGGGCAAGTCCATTATCTTCAGCCTCAGTGGCCTTACCTATAAATTAGAAATTCTAATCTCTGCCTCTCCCACAGAGCTGTTCAAGGGCACAAATGATAACATGAATTCTTTGTGAGCTGAAAAGCACTATTCAAATTTATTTTTAATGGAGTGTGACCAAAAAGACAAATCAAAACCAACTGAAATGTCAAAGATTTTTCAAAGGAGGATACCAGCCAAAGTAAATGTGAGGTTAACTGCAATAATGATAAACCTGACATGAATAAAAAACAATGGCCATTAAAATGCACATATTAAAAATGGCAAAAAAAAAATCAGTGGAACCAAGACAATAATTCATTCTGGTGTCAGAGTGGCCAATCCTAATAATCTCGAACAGTCCTAAATGGCTCCCTATATTTGGGCAGGGCTGCAGAGAGTTTCAGTTTCCTCATGTGACCTATAATGTTTGTAACAGAATAATGTGATATATATTATTTTAGACGCTCCTCAACATTTTATTTGTACATTTATCCTCATGAAATTTTAGCTTGCTGTCCAAAAGAATGCTTAAGTATTTAAACTTTCAGACTTTGCCCCGAATCCAACTTTCCCTTTCACATGGGGCTGACACAGCGTGTCTGTGTAAGTGCATGTATGTGCATGCGTATCCATGCAGTCTGTGCTGTGCTCAAGCCTCTCCCTTCTGCTCCTGGTAGTCTTCCGCTGTGCCCATTCCTTGCCCCCTTGAACAGGGTTTGTAGTTTCTCAAGGCCTCAGATTCACAACACCTGAGGCAAGGGAAAGTCAGGAGAGTCCGACTCCTCCACTCACCAGAAGTATCTTCTTGGCTTTTCCATGCCTCTCAAAGAAAATTCTCTCCTGATGGCATTTCTTAGGACAATTCATTCATTCGATATTTATATTTTTACTTTTATTTATATAGGTATTTATATTTACATGTTTATGTATATAGATATTTAAATTTAGGAACTGTTCTGGGTTCTGAAGATAGAGTGGTAAATTCGAGAGATGAGATTCCTGAGCCTATTGAACTTTCATTCCAGTGGGGAGACAGGCAATAACCAATATGAAAAGTTTTTAATTTCATATTTGAGTGCTTTGAAGAACACAAAGCAGGATAAAGGGCTTGAGAATGACTTGGGGTAGAAGACACCGTTTTGGAAAGGGGAAAACATCTCTGAGGAAGTACATTTTGAATAACGATCTGAAGGTTAAAAGGTTTTCTCTCTCTTAAGACACAATACTGAAAAAAAAGTCTTATTTATTAGAATGGGACTTGTAGGTACCTTTTACTAATGGAAGCCCCTGTTTCAAAACTGTATTCCTCAATATATCTGTCCTCATTTTGACCTCTTTATTTATATATTCTTTTTTTTCCCTAAGGGATTCTTCTTCTCTCTCCACATTTCAGTCCTACTGTTTAGTTTGCTAGGCTGCCATAACAAATGACTTCAGATTGGGTGGCTTAAACAACAGAAATTTATTATCATACAATTCTGGGGTCTGGAATCTGAGATTAAGGTGTTGGCAGGGTA